CCCCAGCCAGCATGAAGTCCACTCATCTTAAAGTGGCCAAGTTTGGACAACACTGGTTTAATTGAAGGAACCCGGCACGCAGGGCCTTATAGCTAACAACCAGCACCAATAAGTGTTTGTGGATGTGTGTGTATGTTGCAACAGAGAGAGGCGCAAAGGAAATGTCTGTGATGTGAGCAGAACTGCTGGCACTGATAAGGAGGCTACAAGATGTGGCTCCAGAAAAGTTGATTTTATCCCCTCATCATGAATTCTACCTTGAATATTTATTCATAAATAAAAGCACATCCTCTCCAACAAATGCTGGATTGACTTTTCAAATACATTTTAATCCCGCTGGAAACTTAAGCACCCAACTTTCAGCAGTACAGCATATTTTTCTTTGTGACAGGACCATAAATTTGAGCAAATGTGGGCATTTTGCCATGGAGGCATAGATTTATTCTTCAGGCCGTGCCTACGGCCTTGTAACTTTTTATGGAAAATGATGTATGGAGCGTAATCAAAAATATGTTCTTTTGATGTATATTGGCAATAAGTAATTTCTTACTGGTAATTCACCTCAAACGATTTAAAAATCTTTTACACCTTTTGATGATTTAATACACTTAAGTTGGAACATGAAGTATCTTACAGAAACCTGCATTATTCTGCCTATGGTGTTTTAAATCATGGTTCACTGAATGTATCATCCAGAGCACCTACATTACGTGGAGGTCTGAATGCAGTCCCTCTTAGGTTAAGCATGCAATGAAGCATTGAAAAAAGTACTTACGACTCTGTAGTGAACTATAAGGGGAAAACCCAGCGATCTGGGAGTAAGTTGTTCCACCTGGGGAAATTAATAGCAAGGAATGTTTTCTGGCGCTGCTAATTTTGGGAAGGCTGAAGATTGAAACTAAGATGTGTAATAATACAATGTCCTTGCTTCCATTTTTAAGTACATGTATCCTCCAGTTATTTTTGGCACGGTATTTCATAGGCAGTGTGGTGTAGTGGCTAAGGTGCTAGACTAGGGCTGAGGAGATCCAGATTCTAGTTGTCCCTTAGGTATGGAAGCTGCCTGTGTGACTTTTGGCCGGTCGCCTTCTTTCAGCCCTGGAATGGGAAGTTGCAAACATCTGTCTACCAGCCCACACTGGACCAGCGTGATAGATTATGGTTTGTAACCGTAATCATCCTGCAGTGGATTGATTTGGAATGATGAAAATTATACAAAAGATACAAGGGATACCGAGGTATGGGGAATCCTTCATAAATAGACCTTGATAGAAGCATCAGATCTTGTTTTATGCTTGCAAATGCTGTGCATACAAGCATCTATCCACTAAATAATTGCTACCGTTTATGAGGCAGAACAGTCAGTAAATACCAAAATCTTTAGCATATATTGTCCATGCAGAATTTCAGGTATTTTTGTGTTAAC